TATCTAAAACACATAGGAGCTGTACTATGCATCTATGCATGTCAATGTTGTCTAGTAGTAACCAAAAAAAGAAATTAATCAAATCTACAAAACTCATGATCTTCGGTTTACTAAACCAAACTATTGATCTCTTTTAATAATAAACAGGGATGGTATCGTTCTAAATAGTTTAAGGTTTTGCCGTATTAGTACATTGTCTTACCATATTAACCTTATCAATATTTTCTCATGCCGAACGTCATTTGAAATTTTGTGAAGCCGTCTGAGTAAACGACTAAACGTATATATATATATATATATATATATTTAAGCTTGATATCAAAAAACAAGTTTAGTGAATTTCATTGTATTATATAGCTAACTTGGATCTTAATGCATATATTAAAAAAATCATAAAACACTTCTCTTATTTTATAGAAATTTAGGCCATTCCATTTCATTGTGATCCTAGTTATTGCTAGGTGCATCAAAAATACTTGCCTCTAATTATGCTTAGTACGTAAGGTAGATTTTAATGTCATCCTCGGAATTCAACCCGCATACTTGATATTATATGAATGCGTGATGCTTTATGAAATATATAATGAAATTGATATTAAACAGACACAAATGAAACTACTTTATATTTGAAAGAATGAAACAGTACGAACTGCATTTTCTTACCAAATATATTTATAAGGGTATACACATCTAACCAGTGGAAAATTGAAAAGGTGATATATATAGTACACTTGTATACTATGAGTTAGACTGTAATATATTAAAGAAAAGTAAGTTGTATGTGATACAAAGAAGAAACAGCAGACAAAAGGAAGTCTGTACTTGAATAAGTATTAAGTTACTTATGTGAAGTCTATATCATTTATTGGTCCCTGTTTTAACGCATTTATATAATACCAATTTTTTTTCAGCGATGAGTTCTAAATTGTAAGTAATCTATATATTTTTAAATTAGTAGAGGTGTGAATAGTGCAACTATCTAGAGTACAAATTAAATTTTGCAAGTACTAAAGGGTAAAAAAAACAAAGACAAATCTCCATCATCAAACATTAGCTCAGTCGATAGGCTTTTCCTTTATATTTGACTTATTATGGGCTTTGTAGTAAATGAAAAATGACCATCCGATGAATCTGTGAGTGACATCTATCACTTGTTAGGTACGTTCAATTTATTGCTTCTTCAGATTTCAAACCCTACAATTGGAGTTTCTTCACAAAATCTTTGCGCAGGGAAAATTCTGTATAGTAGTCTTTCATTAGAGAAGCTTTTACGTTACCTTATATGGGAGATTTTTCTTTTAACAATTTTATAAGTCTTTTACCTCGAATGATTTTCATAATATTCATAAACTATTTATTATACTAACAAGAGAATTCCAGATAAATCAGATTGGATTATTCGAGAAGAAAAGAGTAATATATATTAAAGATCCAATCAAACAAAAAAATGTAATTGATTTAGTGATGGGAAAAACTCTTACCCTCGAAGTACGACATTAGAAGGATCGTATTCGGGAAACCTAATTCAAATTTGGTTCGAGAGAAATTAACAAATTGGCAAACATATCAGTAAAATACAATATTATAAAAGATCTCTCTTCATTTTTTCATCTTAATGTTTTTCATGTAATTACTCAATACCTTATTTTGTAATTATGCTGGTTCCACTCCGTAATAATATCAGATATGTATGTGTATATATATATATATATACATATATATATATATATGAATGCGTGATGCATGTGGACGTAAAATATGAAATTATGATTAGTATTCTGTTTCTGTTTCGAAAAATCGTTTTACAAAGCATTAGTATATAACTAATTAACTATGATAAACTGACCATTTCTTAACTGCAGACTTTTCATTTCAAGAAATTTTAATATTCTTTCTCGTACATAACACATTTCATAGTTTCCGTCAGTCATTGTTTGATGAAATAAAACTCATTGCTATACCATATATCCACAGTAACAGTGAATGTGATTTAACTGCACTCTTTTTAGGGATAAGTTATTTTGAAATTCTTCTTGAAGAACTTGGATTGGGCTAGTTCATGGACTTGAGCCATTTAAAGTTATCCTGCCCTTATTGATTTCTTCATGGAGTCTCCTATCATCCAGTGAACCACGTGGCTTATTATCAAATAGATAGCAAAATTTTACATAACCGTTAGATAATATCTTTTAAACCGTCAATAACCGCCGAAATTTTTCAAATATAATCTCACTCTCCATTAAATCATTTAACACAGCAGAAGAAAACTGTTGAATCACACGCACGCAAAAAACTGAGAGATACGCAAAAATGGAGAAAACAGAGGAAAGCGTAGGAATCAGAGTTTACACGGCGGCAACTCCACCGCAAAAGCCATCACCACCACCGTCTCGTTCACCAAAACCCGTCTTAATCTCTTCACTTCCGTCACTTCCGGCAGGAGCGGCGGCCGGAGGAGGAAGGGGTCGAAAACGTCGCATGGTGGCACAAGGAGTTCAAAAAACGGTTTCGAAAACATCGATGCTCGTCAATTTTCTTCCGACAGGAACTCTCTTGATGTTCGAGATGGTTCTTCCGTCAATCTACCGTGACGGAGACTGTAACGGTATCAACACACTCATGATCCATCTCCTCTTGCTTCTTTGCGCCATGTCTTGTTTCTTCTTCCATTTCACCGATAGTTTTAAAGCATCCGATGGGAAAATCTACTACGGTTTCGTGACGCCACGTGGACTCGCCGTGTTTATGAAACCGCCTCCGCCGGAGTTCGGAGGTGGAGATGTGATAGCGGAAGCGGAGATTCCGGTGAGTGATGATAGGTATAAGTTGAGGGTTAACGACTTTGTTCATGCGGTGATGAGCGTTTTGGTGTTTATGGCGATTGCGTTTTCGGATCGAAGAGTCACGGGTTGTTTGTTTCCTGGAAAAGAGAAAGAGATGGATCAAGTTATGGAGAGTTTTCCATTGATGGTCGGAATCGTTTGCAGTGCTTTGTTTCTTGTTTTTCCGACCACTCGTTACGGTGTAGGATGCATGTCCGCTTGATTTATTATCGATTAGTGTTTTTAGTATGTACTTTGTTATTTTCCTTGTAACCTTTATTTAATGAATCTTTAAGTAAACTTTACATATATTATTTATTATCCACCTACTGTATTGTGAAATAAGATGTTGTGTTAAATCGAAATATTTATTTGTATGGAAAGTTGGAAACGTTTACACTTTGGTAAATATTTCACGTAACAGATTAAAATTTATGTAAATGAAAGCTTGAACAACAAAAAGAAGAAGTTGACAACAAAAAAGCAGAAGAAAACACAACGCCAAGTCACCAATGGTTAAGTATTCGAAACTTACCAATCTAAAAAAAAAAACTTACCAATCTATTCAAATGATTTAGACCAAAAAAAAAACAAAAAAAAAGTATATTCAAATGAGTATATAGGCGTTATATATATCTCTGTGAGCTATTTTTTTAACATACTGTAAGCTATTTCGAAAAAGGTATAAAAAAGACTAGTGTTTCAATACAATTATGAAAAGAAATATGCATAGGGAGAGAGAGGGTTTTGTTCGTGGTGATATTAGTTAGGTAGGGAAGTTTGTGACATGCATTTTTAAGTGAAATAAGTTAAACAAGAAACATCAAATATGATAAATGGAAACAAAAACATTTCTTATAAACAAGCAATCAAAGAAATAATTATCATTTCTGGTGGTTTCTTGTTTAGAACCATGGACGGAAACATATATATATATATATATATATATGTTTAATTTTTAATCCATGGTGGAATTTTTTTTAAAAAAGTGTTACGAGAACCCTTTAAAAAGAAGAGAATAAAATTTTAGTTTTATCCAAGATTTCCCTCTTCCGTGGGTAACCTTTGACATACTTAGCTGCCGTTAGCGACTGGACTGGATTCTTCAGCTACAAGGCTGGTTCAGCTTACTGGCATCCGTTTTTTTCTAAAACTCCATCTTAAGTTTACTATCAGCAACAACAACAAAAAAAGTTTACTATCATGTTAAACACATTTTTTTATATAAAATTAGCATTAAATCCAAATTAGAAACTACCATGCAAACTTCACCGTAGTTTTCCTTATATTAAGAAGAAAAAGAAAAGAAGAAGAAAAATAAAAGTAGAATAAAGAAGAGGAAGAACGAATGAGAGAAAGAGATAAAAGACGAAAAGAAAAGAGAATAAGGGATAAAGTGAGAAGAAAGAAAAAAAAAAAAAGTAATTTGTAACCAATTAGATAGGTTTTTTGTTAAGCAATTTGTAAAACCTAAACTTTCACTTTCAAATGATATTTACAATTTGGCACACACACAAAAAAAAAAAAGAGGAGAGAAAAAGTGAAAGAAGTGGTTCTCAACTAAGTATCAAATAGTCAGTCACTTTTATATGTGGAATTTGGAGATTTTCTTATTGATAATTTTTTCGGCTCGGCCAGTACAGAAGATAACTAGATCGTCTGGTGACAAAATAACTGTAAAGAGATAAGCCGCTTTGATCATTTACAAGAGAAGATAAACATATAAAAACTATTTATTCTGATGGTACATAAATGAATCGTATCCAATCAAACTAACAAACATATTACACTTTAGTGTTTAATAAATTCCATACACCAACAGTTTAATCTAATGAAACAATCAGTTTATTTATATCATGTCCTTCTAACGTATTTAAAAATTTATGGTAATGCCATACACAGATCATATATTAAGCTTGAGTAAGCTTTTATATAATTTTAGGTGAATTAGAAAACAATTTTCTCAAATATTTACCTTCACAAACTTAGCAAGATAATATGACTATGGACCTTGTGACGTTTCAAACGGTGGACGTTGGATCAATTCGTAAACGAGACTCATGTTGACAGCGACTGTCTGCGAGGTTTGTGCCGTAATATCTTCTTCTTCTTTTCTTTTTTTTCAAGTGATTCTTCTTCTTCTTTTTTTTCATTTTTTGTTTGTCTGTAAAACATTCAGTTAGAAATATCTTGACACGCAGAATTTTAGCCTATTTATAAGAGCAGCGAAAGAAGAGGGAGAGACACAAACAAATAGAAAAGAAAAGAAAAACAGAGTTGAATATTGTAGCTATGGCTCGGACTTTGCAAGGCGAGTGGATCAAGGTAATTGCTATTAATTAATTAGTTAAGAATTTCTATGTTATATAAGTATTAATTATCATTTCTCTCAAATTCATAATTTTGCACGAGAGTAGCATGGGTGATGTATATATATATATATATGTATAATATTGGTTATTAGTAAAGCTATGTATGACACTTTTTTAATTCCCATGTTCTAGAAACGTTACCCCATTCGTGTACTTGTAACCTGAAAAGATATTATATTCATGGTTTACTTGTAAAATCCTGTCATGTATTCGAAAATTTAACAGGCTCATCAATATCCCTTTTAATTATCAACATTAATTCACCATGATTATGACAGATCATAGATAATGGTCATTGATTAACAGGTGGTGCAGAAAGGAGGACATGGACCAGTACCAAGATGCTCACACGGCATAGCCGTGGTCGGACACAAGCTCTACTGTTTCGGCGGCGAGTTTGTGCCATACGAGTCTATCGACAAAGACCTTTATGTCTTTGACTTCAACACTCACACTTGGTCAATCGCTCCGGCCAAGGGAGACGTTCCAACCATCAAAGCCTTAGGCGTCCGCATGGTGGCCGTGGGAACTAAGCTCTATGTATTCGGAGGCCGCAATAAAAAGTTAGAGTTCGAGGACTTTTACTCGTACGACACGGTGAAAGAGGAGTGGAAGTTCCTGACGAAGCTCGATGAAGAGGGAGGACCCGAGGCTCGTACTTTCCATGCAATGGCTTCAGATGAAAACAACGTGTACGTATTCGGTGGGGTGAGCAAAGGCGGGCTGAATGCAACCCCGTTTCGGTTCAGAACGATCGAGGCGTATAACATTGCCGATGGGAAATGGTCTCAGCTACCGGATCCTGGCGAGGATTTCGAGAAAAGAGGAGGAGCCGGATTCCTTGTGGTGCAAGGGAAGATTTGGGTGCTTTACGGGTTCGCGACTGCTAGTGATCCTGATGCACCCAAACTCTACGGGTCCAGTGACTACGAGTCTAACCATGTGCACTACTTTGACCCCGCTACTCAAAAATGGACCCAAGTGGAGACCAAAGGTTTCGAGAAACCTCCTGCGAGGAGCGTCTTTGCGCATGCGGCTGTGGGAAAATATATATTAATATTTGGAGGCGAGATTGAGCGGGACCCGGAAGCACATAAAGGTCCGGGGACGTTGTCCCGTGAGGGTTTTGCGTTGGACACTGAGACATTGGTGTGGGAGAGGTTTGGAGGAGGAGAAAAACCGAGCAACCGCGGTTGGACGGCCTCCACGACGGCCACCGTCTATGGAAAGAAAGGTCTCCTCATGCATGGAGGAAAACTTCAGACCAACGCACGCACCGGTGAGATCTACTTCTACGCTGTCGATTCCGCTTAATCAGTTACATATATGCTCTCACTCTCAATGTTTTATATAATTCAATAAATGTTTGTGAGACCCTACGCGTCACTGTTTTTTTTTTAAAGTTATTAAATCAAATAAATGTGTGTCAGTGTGTGCTGTGTGTGTCTGTGGCTTGGAAACTGTTATCACTGGAATAATATGTGTTTTCGTGTACGTGAGTATAATAAATTATAAACTATGTGAAATTATCTACAAATTTGTCGCATCATTTTATTTCCCTCAATTGCCTATTTGCCCTCACATATTAACTCACTTGATGACGAACTACATTTATATAAGTGAGAAGAACCACTAGGCGGAGTCAATTGTGGACAAGAAGAGTACACAAAACGACACTATTTTGAATGAGGACAGAAAAAGCAAAAGTAAGTTGGGCCAAGAAGAAAATCAAACCCAAACTGAATTAATAAGAAGTCCAACGAAGATCAGTCCACATTCAAACTCAATCTTTAACGGTCTGAAAAAGATCGAAACAAACTTTGCAAAAGCAGAGTGTACGAACTAAAATCGAGCTGTGAGAAGAAGACAGATATCATCAAGCTGTCCAATTCATTCTCAGTTCTTGGATCATTAAGCGGTACAGAATGATGACACCTGTTAGGAAACTAGGATTTTAAAAATTTATATAAATAAGAAATCATCTATTTGTAATCGTCAAGTTCAAAGAAATAACAAAAAATATTTTTTTTTATCTTCAATCATCTCTAAGTTTTATAAATCTCTTTATGGTATCAGAACCATGGGCGACCAAGCCATGGACTTTGTTGTTCCTCCGTCTCTAAACATCATCAATTCCATCACGGTGAAGCTTACAGAGCAAAACTACATTTTCTGGAAGTTTCAGTTTGAAGTGTTTCTCAATGGCAACGACCTCATCGGCTATGTCACCGGAGCTACACCAAAACCACCGATGACAATCGTTGTTCCGGGCATCAACAATACCGCTACTGAAGTCCCGAACCCGGTATTTCGCATTTGGTTTAAAACTGACCAAATAGTGAAGTCTTGGCTCGTTGGTTCTTTCGCCGAAGACATTCTCAGCGTCGTAGTCGGCTGCGACACAGCTCATGACGTCTGGATGACACTGGCCAAGCACTACAACCGCCAGTCGTATCACGCTTGTTTGAACTTCAACATCAACCCAAACCCTCAAGAAGGGAGACAAACCAATGATTGATTTTCTCAAGCAAATCAAGGCTCTCGGTGATCAACTTACATCTATTGGCCATCCAGCTTCCGAACGAATGAAGATATTTGCTGCTCTCAAGGGTCTAGGCCGTGAGTTTGAACCAGTCAAGATCAGTATTGAGGGCTCGATGGACAAATTTCCGGCACCAACGTTTGAAGACATCATACCTCGTCTCTGCGCTTTTGCTGACCGGCTACCTAGCTATGCCTCAGAGTCGGAAATATCTTCTCACTTGGCTTTCCATGCGATGATCAACGACCCCTCTATTGCTTACTACACAAATTACACAAACAACCGAGGACGTGGTCAGCAATACAACAACCGTGGCAGAGGAAACCGCGGTGGAAGAGGTCAATATTCCACTCAAGGACGTGGCTTTCATCAACAAGTAGTCACTTTCCCGCCATCATCTGCTTCCTCTGACACTAGAGAAAGGTCAATTTGTCAGATATGTGGAAAAGTGGGACATCCGGCTATACGATGCTGGCATCGTTTCGACAACAATTATGTGGAAGAGTTTCCAAATGCTCTTACTGCAATGAGGATTACTGATGTTTCAGACAGCTCGGGTATCGAGTGTTTTCTGACACAGGAGCCACAGCTCACATAATCAACTCCTCTCAACACCTGCAACACTCTCAAGTCTACAATGGGCCAGATGCTGTCATGGTTGGAAATGGGGAATATTTACCGATAACTCACACCGGTTCTGCTTCTCTTCCTTCCACTTCAGCTAATCTTCCTCTAAACGATGTGTTGGTATGTCCATATATTGCTAAGTCAATGTTATCTGTCTCAAAGATCACAGAGGACTATCCTTGTTCCTTTAAATTTGACTGTAACAATGTTCGTGTGTATGATAAGGAAACAAAGCAGCTTCTTCTGGGAAGAAACAATGATGGTCTATATGTGTTGAAGAATCCTCGTCTGCAGGCGTTCTACTGTACAAGACAGCAAGCTGCTAGTAGTAAAGTATGGCGTAGGCGTTTGGGACATCTGAATTCACATATCCTTCAGCATCTATCAACAAATAAGCAAGTCATCATCAATAAAAGTACCAAGTCTGTCTGTGAAGCATGTCAGCTTGGGAAGAGCTCTAGATTACCGTTTTCTTCTTCCACTTTTGTTGCTTCTAGGTCTTTAGAAGGATTCACTGTGATTTGTGGGGACCTTCGCCAGTTTTATCTGTTCAAAGCTTTCGTTATTATGTGGTTTTCATCGATAACTTCTCCAGATTTTGCTGGTTTTATCTCTTGAAACTGAAATCAGATTTATTTCCCACGTTTATCAAGTTTCAGTCATTGGTTCAAAATCAGTTTCAAAATCAAATTGGTACCTTTCAATGCGATGGTGGAGGAGAATTCACAAGTACGGTCTTCCTAAAACATCTTGAGAAGTGTGGAATTCAACAGTTTATATCATGCCCATACACTCCTCAGCAAAATGGGATTGCAGAGAGAAAACACAAATATATAGTTGAGCTAGGCCTCTCTATGATGTTTCAAAGCAGTGTTCCCTTGAAGTATTGGGTGGAAGCTTTCTTCACAGCAAACTTTCTGAGTAACCTGTTGCCTCACACGGCTTTAGCAAACCCACGAAGTCCTTATGAGCTCCTATTTGGCAAACCACCTGTTTATACATTCTTACGAGTGTTTAGGTGTGTGTGTTATCCAACTATGCGAGATTATGCAGCAAACAAGTTTGATCCAAGGTCTCTGAAATGTGTCTTCCTTGGATACAACGAGAAATACAAAGGGTATCGATGCTTACTCCCTACAACAGGCCGGGTCCACATTAGCCGTCATGTGATCTTTGATGAATCTGTTTTTTCTTTCTCTGAGAAGTACTATCATCTACATCCGAAGGAATAAACTTCTCTGGTCTCAGCCTGGACACAGAGTTTCAAACCTAAGGACACGGGTGCAGCTACAGAAAGTCAGTCATCATCTACAACAATCACGCCTGAAGTTGTCGCTCAGTTTCAGCAGGCTCCTGTTTTCATCACTCCTCCTGCACCAACACCTGTGACAGATGCTCTTGATGAGGACAGTTTCGAAGGTTTGGCAGTTTCTTCGTCTGATTCCCCAAACAAAAACAATGATGAAGACTTGAACATGACCTCTTCAGCAACTCCTTCATCATCAAATAGCTTCCCCAATACTACTATCACCCAATCTCAACCTCCAAACTCCCACACTATGGTGACACGATCGAAAGTGGGGATTGTCAAACCAAATCCATGATATGCTCTTCTAACGCATAAGGTTGCTCATCCGGAGCCAAAAACCATAAAAGAGGCTCTGAATCGCCATGGATAGAACAATGCTATGCATGAGGAAGTTGAGAATTGCAAAGAAGCAAATACATGGTCTCTTGTTCCATACTCTTCTGATATGCATGTGCTAGGAAGCAAGTGGATTTTCAGAACTAAATTAAATGCAGACGGGTCTTTAGACAAGTTAAAAGCTCGCCTAGTTGCTCAAGGGTTTAATCAAGAAGAAGGTATTGACTATCTGGAAACTTTCAGTCCTGTGGTTCGAACAGCTACAGTGTGAATTATTCTTGATATCGCAACAGTTATGCAGTGGGAAATCAAGCAAATGGATGTAAAGAACGCTTTTCTCCATGGGGACTTAACAGAAATTGTTTACATGAAGCAACCTGCAGGATTCACATATAAGGACAAGCCTGATCACGTGTGTCTTCTGGATAAGTCTCTGTATGGACTTAAATAAGCTCCCAGAGCATGGTTCGATAAGTTCAACAATTTTCTCTTGGAATTTGGATTCTTCTGCAGTATTAAGGATCCCTCACTGTTCGTATACTCCAAGGGAAAAGATGTAATTATGCTTCGATGACATGATTCTCACTGGAAACAGCTCTATCGCCTTGGATAAACTCCTAACCAAGCTCAACAATCAATTCAGAATGAAGGATCTTGGCAGAATGGCATACTTCTTAGGAATTCAAGCTCAGTTTCATGAAACTGGTCTGTTTCTCTCGCAACAACAATATGCAGAGGATCTCTTGGCTATTGCAGAGATGAGCGATTGTTCACCAATAGCAACGCCATTGCCAATACAGCTCAACAGGGTTCCAGATCAAGAAGAGGTCTTCCCTAATCCGACATACATTAGAAGCTTGGCAGGCAAGCTGCAATATCTGACTCTTACAAGACCTGATCTCCAGTTTGCTGTCAACTATGTGTGTCAAAAGATGCATGCGCCTACAGTCTCCGACTACAACCTGCTCAAGATATTTCTCAGGTATGTCAAAGGTACAATCTCGATGGGCCTTACTCTCTACAAAGACTCAGATTTCACTCTCTGATCCTATAGTGATAGTGATTGGGCTGGTTGTCCTCACACACGGAGGTCAACAAGTGGATTCTGTACATTCCTTGGGGCAAATCTCATCTCATGGTCTTCTCATAAACAGAGAACGGTGTCCAGAAGCTCGACAGAGGCAGAGTATCATTCCTTATCTGAGACAGCGATGGAGTTAACTTGGATATGCGCAATTCTTCGCGAACTTGGAGTTCTACTGGAGGTTCTCCTGAGTTATATGGCGATAATCTCTCATCTGTTCACTTGACTGACAATCCCGCCTTTCACAAACGCTCGAAGCATTTTGAAACATACTATCATTATGTCCGTGAAAGAGTAGCTCTCGGATCTCTGATTGTGAAGCATGTTCTGGTTCATCAACAAATTGCTGACATCTTCACTAAGTCTCTTCCATCTGAAGCCTTTTGTTCTCTACGATACAAACTTGGTGTAGATTTTCCACCCACACCAAGTTTGAGAGGGCATATAAGTGAGAAGAACAACTCGGCGGAGTCAATTGTGGAGAAGAAGAGTACACAAAACGACACTGTTTTGATTGAGGACAGAAAAGGCAAAGGCAAGTTGGGCCAAGAAGAAAATCAAGTCCAAACTGAATCAATAACGAAGTCCAACGAAGATCAGTCCACGTTCAAACTCAGTCTTTAACGGTCTGAAGAAGATAGAAACAAACTCTGCAAAAGCAAAGTGTACAAACCAAAATCGAGTTGTGAGAAGAAGACAGATACCATCACGCTGTCCAATTCATTCTCAGTTCTTAGATCATTAAGCGATACAAGATGATGACACCTGTTAGGAAACTAATGTTTTGGAGATTTGTATAAATAAAAAATCATCTCTTTGTAATCGTCAAATTCAAAGAAATAACAAAAAATGTTTCTCTTTATCTTCAATCATCTCTAAGTTTTACAAATCTCTTTAATTTAAAACACCAAATAATATTAACAAGGTATTTTAACAAAATACAAATCTGTTTCATAATTCCTCATTTTCCAGATTGTCACGCACATATATTCTTAATTTTGGCATTCATCATGTTAAAAAATCAGCAACATTGTCATGCAAAGAATTTGAAAGTAATTGTGCACATGAGTGATTTTATCAACTTTGAACTTCCTTGCTGTAAATGATCATGCAATGGGAGATTAATATTTCTCGAATAAAAGTGTTTTTTTTATCTTGGGAGGAATATGTCAATATATGTACATATATACATATATATATGTACACCAATAGATATTGTAGCCCGGCTTCACAGCATAATATCTCCATGCCTTGTGTGTAATTAATGCCATCATCTTATTTGCATCATCCGGGTTTACCACCTGGTTGAGCATTGATCTGTTCCATGGATTTGTTCCCGGTAGGATAAGGTCTTGAACTGATAAATCAGGATTTATGACATATCCACTTAGCTTGTGCTATAGAAGAAAGAAAGAGTGTTCTTTTGATAGCTTTGACATTTTTGTTCATGTGCTTTATTTCAAGAAATCATGAGCGAATAAAGTATAAGATACTGCTTCTTCTAGTTTTGGAACCATGTATGTAAGCAAAGTAGATAAGCCGTATGTGAAAAATTTGAACTTAAAAAGGAGATATAAGACCACTTTTTCAATTTGTCAGATATCATTTTCATTAATCATTAATGATTTATATAACTCTTGATCTGTTTCTGGTGCTGCTGTTAAGAGCTTCATTTAACCCCTTTTGGGAATTATACTATCTAACTTTTTTTTTTTTTTTTTTTTTTTCGCCACTGGAGACCCTTCCTCATGTCAACGGATTTGGTTCAGCGATTGGTTTCCTGTCCTCGATCTCGATCTTGTTATTTATTTATCATAAGGAAACTCCATATTATCTATTATTCACCTATTGTATTGTGAAATAAAATGTTTGTTGTTAGATTTAAATATGTGTATAGGAATGTTTTGGTCCATATTTTTTACGTAACAGGTTAAAAAATTATGTAAATGAAAGCCTTAATATACAAAAAGAAGAAGTTGACAAATAAAAACAGAAAAACACACAAAGCCACACCAACGGTTAAGTAATCGAAATTTACCAATATATTCACAATTTCAAATGGGTAGGCGTTATCTCCATAAGCTACTTGAAAAAGCTATAAACAAAGACTAGTGGCCCAATACGATTTTTATCTGTGTGTGTGTCGACAGTGTTCCAATACGATTATTAAAAGAAATATGCATACTTTACTTTTGTTACATATATTAAAAAAAAAAAAGTCCAATACCGCAATACGTGCTGCTGTTTCGTGATAACAAGAGCCACGTGCACTTCTTTAGTAGAAAGAAAAAGAATATATATAGAGCTAACTTTTGTTTAAAGCCTTCTTCCCCTTTTAGAACAGAGAGAGAGGGTTTGTTCGTGTTCATATTTGGGTAATTAGAGAGAGGAGAAGAGAAATGTGCATAGCAGTGTTTGTGTGGCAATCGCATCCGCTTTACCCTTTTCTTCTCTTTTTGAATAGAGATGAATATCACAACAGGTGATTGATTGAATCCATCCCCCTCCTCTGAAAATAGCTTCAAAGTTAATTAATAAACTGTTTATTTTAAATCTTGAAGGGCGACTGAACCGCTGCGTTGGTGGGAAGACGGAGAGACGGTGGGAGGAAGAGACCTAGCTGGCGGCGGGACGTGGCTAGGATGCACGAGGCATGGCCGTATCGCTTTCCTCACCAATTTCAAGGAGACCTCCTCTTTCCCGGATGCTAAGTCCCGTGGAGATCTCCCTCTTCGTTACTTGCAAAGCCGAAAGAGCCCTACCGAGTTTGCGGAGGAGATACAAGAGGAGGTTTCTATGTACAATGGCTTCAACCTAGTTGTAGCTCATGTCTTGTCCAAATCCATGGTTTACATTACCAACCGGCCACGCCACGGTGATAAGGATAAGCTCGTGACACAAGTCTCTCCGGGGATCCATGTCCTTTCCAACGATAGCCTCGACTCTCCTTGGCCCAAGGTACCGTAAATAATTTTCTCCGAGGATCTCTCTCGACTTTGCACACTCTCCGATTGCAATTTGATATTTTTGGGTTAAATTTGAATTTATTATGGATTTTTAACTCAAAACTAATTACTAATTACTAATTGATAATCAGTAAATAGGTCTATTTGACAAAAAAAATAGGTCTATATCTTTTAAAACATCTTCATTAGTAATGCATAACTGGTTCAGTGGCTACCACCTTAAACGCAGTATTTGTGGTAACGATTAGTCACGGAAACGTTTTCAACTGCTTTATACCATTTTTTTTCTTCAAAATTAAAAATTATTTCTTACTAGCATTTGCGATTGCGTACGGTAATACAAAATTAGAATGATATAAAAATTATTTAAAATCAAAATATATAATATTTTTTCTTTAAATAAGTTTTAAATATTATAATTACAAAATATATAAATTTGATACTTTTTAAAATAATATTAATTAAGTATTTTATGGCTTAAAATTAATATTCATTAACTATTAATCAAGATCTTTAAACAAAAATAATTTAAATAAATTTTCTATGTACCACTAATAGTTTCATATATTTAATAACTAAGATTATTTTAATATAATTTTAATATTTAAAAAATTATAATTTTATCTAAACTAAAAAATAAGAAATAAATGTAAGTATTATACATATAATATTTTTCTGATTTTTGGTATTAGTTATATTGAATTTATAATTTATTATGTTTTAATAATAATATATTTATTGGTTTTTAATTATATAATATATTTATATTGTTATTTGGTTGTGTAATTGTTTTTGTATCTACTGGTCAAGCAGTCTAAAATATCCTGCAAATACACCTGTTCTTTAATTACTATACCTATTGTACAAACCGCTGGTTAACGCTGTTAACCATGTCTATTTCAGCAAACTTTCACATCTGCAATCACAACCACTATGTTTAAACCAGTTACACCTTAAGATATGTTTTCAAATCTTTCACAAATATATAATACTACTCATATTTTTAATACAATTTTGTTATATAATTTAATTTTAATTTTTGAATATAAATTTAATCAATTATATGAAAACAAATGTTATAAGAATATCTAAAGATATCTCAAAATCTCTTATTTAAAGTAGTTTCTTTTTTTTTTCTTTTTCTTACATATATAATAAAATACTACTATTATTTTTTTTTTCTATTTGGGTGATATTATTGATGGAAACGCTGTTATATACTAGTATTGGTTTCTTAAAACTTATGATGTGAGATCCTAACAGTTTTCCATACAGTATCTAAGGCTGAGAGAGGGTTTCAAAAGGCTTCTATCTAACAATGAGGGTGGTGAATTCCCGGTAAAGGCCATGGTGGAGGAGGTGATGACTGATACTGTTAAGGACCAAGAACCCGAGCTGCCTCACGTGTTCACACCAGAGACGGAATACCAAATCAGCTCAATCTTCGTCGACTTGCTTATACCAGCTGTACACACTTTTCCTCTTTTAGATTTTGTTTAACTCTTTCTAAAATTATGACTTGAAATCTTGAACACCCAATCTCACTCATAGCTCTATCCAGGGGCGTTTTGGGACCAGAAGCATCTCGGCGCTTAGCATTAAGACCCATGGTGAGGTTTGTTTCTACGAGAGGCACCTTGAACAAGGTGATTCCTGGAAGGAACACACTGAACATTTTGTGATACCAAATAGAAGCATTGTTTAACAGACATTAGTTTGTTTGACTGAGATAATTTGTGAAGCACAAAATAGTAAACACTAAACATAGCTATTGTGTGTTTTATTTACTCCAAGTTCCAACAATCAAAAGACAAAAGACAAATAGAATCACAACAAAACCATAATTACTCTCAAAACCATAATTACTTGATGGCATGTATTAGACACAAGTGCAAAACCTCCCCACTTTCTCACTTTCAGAAATTTTACACTTACACCGAGAAGATCTCACTCAGGGAACTCCAAGTTCCCGACACAACACGAACCACGCCAAGTCCCTCTATCGATGTGTCCAAACTAATTATTAACAATTTGAATCAACTACTTAATTTATCACCTATCACCTTCAACCCAATATGTCTTCTTATACGTTGAAATATACTATCGTGATCCAAACACATAATTAATTTATGTTAGCTTTTTTTAACAAAATTTATGTTAGATTTACCAAAAAATAAAGTTGGGTAATTTGGATTGGCTACGGAGAGGATCAGATGATCTAATTTAAAAATGCACTAACATAAATTTGGGTAAGTTTTTGTTTACTTCAGATTCGATTAGCTGTTTTTTTTACATCGTTAGAATTAGAATATTTTGATTATCCATTTAACATCTTACATTGTATTCAGGTATTGTCTGAGAACACCGCTGGAAATATTATATGAGTTTTTTTCTTTTTTAACAACAATATCCATAAGAAGATTGAATAATACTGAGAAACGACTACTAGTTCGAGTGCGTGGGCCAAAATGAGAATCCTAATAACACGCACTAGACAACTACACTTTATTGCGTACTAGAAACACGTGGCAAATCATCGTAATATTTTCTTAGACGACAGAAAATTTTTAGCCACAAGTCACTGAATGTCGTTTTCGTCGCTTTTTAATTTGCTTTTCTATCGAGAGAAATGAGCTGTCATATCCGACGCGTGTGAACACCAGTTTCGTGGTTAGGGGATATGCTGACGTGGATTAACTCAGGCTTTTAACACTTTGAGTAAAATTTGCGATTACTAATTTACTATCCATCTCTTTTTTTTTTTTTTTTTTATAAAAGGGCATACTAACTCATCGCTTAGTTTGTTGTAGTAATATTCTTTTTTTACGTTTGATAAGTCTGTGACATTTTTTTGCACAAGTATGATTTGACAGAGAGAAGAATCATTTGTTGGTCAGTAAGAACAACAGTCATGTGGTATCAACGAGATTTTTCTTTTATATTTTTTAAAAAGGCTTAAGATACGAAAGAAATTTGAATAAGCTTTTTCAGAAAAATGATAAATAACGTTTCTTAAGCATCTTCACAAAAGATTAAGAATACGTATTTTTTCAGTCGTGCGTCCAAGTGGGATAATATATAAAATATGAAATTGTATTCAAACAACTTTATAATATATTGGGGATCTAGGGTGGTCTGAACCAAAAAGGTATCATATACTATACTTATCCACATTATTGCACTTTTTTATATCGACATGGCGTTCATTAGTCACCACAACTTCTAACATAGAACTCCCACAGCCACGTATCTCTGATATGTTGAAGATTTTATGACAAGAAAAAGGCCAGGAGGGGGAAATACAACACTGAAGATCCACTATATACTTTCGTCGTTGCAAAAATATTAGAATAATAAAGCAAATGTTCAACCAAAAAAAAAATATATTAGAATAATAGAATATGAATTTGGATAATAGAATATAAGAAGAAAACAAAACAAAAAAAACAAGGGAAATTAGGTGTAATACTAATATAGAGGAAATTTATTCACCAAATCGAACCCAAAAATTTGGCTATAATATTTTATGTTGAAAGTTGAAACAGTAAACAGGACAAATTGTCTTTCGATTTACATAATTTTGCATTTCATCTAATTTCCTCATTATAGTCTAAACTATTTTATTTTTGTTTCATTTCATCTGTTTTTTCATGTAATTTATTTTAAATAAATTGATTGAAAAATACAATTACACTATTTTTTATGGATATACCGTAATTAGCTTTTTAAAAAGATATATAAATAACTCAAAATTTAAAATTAATATTTATTTTAGATATCCAAAGTTTTTACTAATTATGAATATATTAGTTAAGATGAAAATTATTTAGCTAACTTCAAAATTATTTATACAACTCGAACATAATACAAGTTAGAATTACTATTCATTTTAGATATCTGAAGTTTTTACTAATTTCGAACATATATAAGTTAAGATAAAAATTTTTTTAAGTAACTTCAAAATTATTTATACAACTAAAACATATATCAAATTGATGAAAATTCTGGTTTTTATTTTATTTTAAAAGAGTAAATTTAATTAACGCACAAATCAAAATATACTTTATTTGTTATAGTTTCCTAATTTTAAAACATAATGGAATCAAGTCCAAACATATATCAGTCAAGATCAAAACTATTTATGTAACTTTAAAATTATTTATATGACTCAAACATAATATACAAAAAGTTAGAATTACTATCAAATCAGTTATCCAAAGTTTTTAATAATTCCAAACATATATTAGTTAAAGTGAAAATTATTTAGATAATCTCAGAAATATTTATACAACTGAAACATATATACATCAAAACTGATGAAATTTTGGATATCTACACACACAAATATAGTAAATTTAAAACTAATGCACCAATTAACACATATTTTTATAGTTTTTTTTTAATTTTAAAACACAATGAAATCAAATTTCAGATATCTAAAGTTTTTACTAATTTCGAATATATATTAATTAAGGTGAAAATTGTTTAGGTAACTTCAAAATTATTTTTACAACGTGAACATATAGAAATTGATGAAAATGTTGGATATTTACAAAATAATTAAATTTTAAACTAACATAAAAATCAAAAATATTTGTTATGTCATTATTTTTTAATCTTCAAACACAATATAATCAAAATATCAATCTCACAGCCCTGGTCAGAGAGACAAACATTGATAAAACATTAATTATCATTAATTGTTCACAAACCTAGGTTTCTAACACAAATCAGCATTGGATCAAACCACAATCTAATTAGTTATAGTATAACTATGATGCTGCATACAACTGTCTCAAAGCAAGCTATTAGTGTTTGGGTTTTGCAAGATATTGGATGGCTAAATACATGTGTTCATGAGTCTATATAGAAATTATTGTAAATACAGCAAATCAATAATTTTTTTATGTCTTTTTTAAATATAGAATGAAGTGTTTCTGATTAAAGATATATAATTACATTGAAAATTTATCTTTTTTTCATAAAAAGATCTTAAGTCAAATGTGAAAGAAATATTTCTAAGATCATGAAATGTATGTAATCACATCAAATTTTAGACCATTACTTCTCATGGTCTTTAGAAAGATAATTAAGGTTTTACTGACTTTTAAATATAAAAAGGAAATTAATGGAAGAAAAAGTAAAAGTAAAAAAAAAGAAAAAAAGTGCTGACCAGATTGAAAAGGAAAACAGGAAAAAAAAATACAAAAGCCAAAAAGAGAAGAAAAAAAAAGATCCCTTTTTAAAAAAAAGTCCACAAAAACAAAATACAAACTTGTGGCTGAGGATTCTCACATGTAATGACGTGGCACACCGGGCGAATCAAAAGGTTGTACAACTCGCGAGATCACAGCAAAACTGTAATCTTTTTTCTCGCAGACAAAAAAGGATTGGATTTACAAATAAATAAAGAGAAAAACAAATAAACAAATCGAGGAAAAGGAAGAAGAACAAAACTCAGACAACCACCGAAAACAAGACAGTCGTTTCTCTCTCTCTCTTTTTAAAAAAAAAAAAAAATTGTAGCTTTCTTCTTCTCTCTGTCTTCTCAAAAGTTTCCGCTTTTTTCTCGCTGGAGAAGACGAAGAAGTGAGAAAGAAAACAAAAAAATTGATGTCTGATCCGGCGATTAAGCTGTTTGGGAAGACGATTCCTTTACCGGAGCTTGGTGGCGATTCTTCGTCTAGCTATACCGGAGTTTTAACCCAACATCAAGACCAGAATCTTGTTCGGTTATCAGATTCCTGTAACGGAGATGATGAAGAGATGGGTGATTCCGGTTTAGATGGAGGAGGAGGAGGAGACGATGGTGGCTTTCACGGTGGAGATAGCGAGAGTGAAAAAGTAAGGTTTTTTGATTCGTGAATCGTTTCGTTTATCGATTTTGAAGAATACCCAATGATTTATTACGCGGAAATGACCTATGGATTGATGTTAGATTCATCGTAATCGCTGTTTTGTATTTTTTAATCTTGTTTGGTGTGATTTTGGTATGGTTATGTTGAACTAGGTTTTTCTTTTGGGGATTTATTTTTTTGTTTCGGGAATTGTAAATCTGGATTTTTTTTTATAAACGAGGTTAATATTAAGTGTATTCGAGATCTTTAATCAGTTTTAATTCGGTTTTGATTCGATGGTGATGGTTCTAATTCTTGAATTGCTGAAACAACTTTTAGGGTTTATTCCTTTTTTTACTCATTTAAGGGAAATCTGGATTTAAAACATTAGATCGTTAGCTTCTCTGGTTCTATTGATTAGTGTTTATTAAATCTGTTACTGGATCTGCAAAGTTACAGACTTTTCTTCAAGTCTCTGATTTTGGGACTGTTACACTCTGATTCTGTTACCATTGACTTAAACTTTAATTGTTCATTTTTAGATACATTGTTTGTATGATTAGGTTACACAAAGAACGATATTTGTATGTTCATTTATGAATAACATTGTTGTTATTTGTTTACCATATACTGATTTGAGTCTTGTGATCAATATTGTATTTAATTCAGGGAATCCATGAACAAAAAGATAACGAAGAGCACGGAGAAGAGTCAACGAAGGATGAATCTAACAACGTTGCTACAACAGCATCGGGTACAACCGACAAAACCGAGACAGCGAAAGCTGCAAAGACGAGTGAAGAAGAGTCGTCGCAGCAGAACGAGTCAGGGGGCACTGATTGCTCTCAAGAGGCGAAGCTGAAGAAGCCTGACAAGATCCTGCCTTGCCCTCGATGCCACAGCATGGAGACCAAGTTCTGTTACTACAACAACTACAACGTTAACCAGCCTCGCCACTTCTGCAAGAAATGCCAGAGGTATTGGACTGCCGGAGGAACGATGAGGAATGTTCCGGTCGGTGCAGGGAGACGCAAGAACAAGAACCCGGGATCTCATTATAACCGTCTTGTAAGCATAACATCCGCGGAAGCTATGCATAACGCGGCGAGAACCGATCCTAATGGTGCAAGTCTCCTCACTTTTGGCTCTGATTCTGTCATATGTGAATCCATGGCTTCTGGATTGAATCTTGCTGAGAAGTCAATACTGAAAACGCAAACCGGGTTGCAAGAAGCAAACCAAGGCTTGAAGATTACGGTTCCTGTAAAGCCTTCAAGCGAGGAGGCCGGAACAATCAGCCCGTTAGCTCAAGTTCCATGCTTTCCAGGACCACCACCACCGACTTGGCCGTACGCTTGGAACGGTGTTTCGTGGACGGTTTTACCGTTTTACCCTCCGCCGGCTTACTGGAGCTGCCCGGGAGTTTCGCCTGGAGCATGGAACGGCTTCACATGGATGCCACAACCCAATTCACCATCAGGGTCAGGTCCGAATTCTCCGACACTTGGTAAACATTCACGAGATGAAACAGGAACTGGTTTGGAAGAAACAGAGTCATCACCTGGTAGAGAGAAAAGCAAACCGGAGAGATGCTTGTGGGTTCCCAAGACGCTGAGGGTCGACGATCCAGAGGAAGCTGCTAAAAGCTCGATATGGGAAACACTTGGGATCAAGAAGGACGAAAAGGCGGATACTTTCGGGGCTTTCAGGTCATCGAGCAAAGAAAAAAAGAGTCTTTCTCAAGGAAAACATCGGGGAAGACGACCGGAGTTGCAGGCGAATCCGGCTGCTCTTTCTAGGTCAGCAAACTTCCACGAGAGCTCATAGGAAGAAGGTGAGAATTTAGCAGATGATTTGATTGTTTTTTGGGTTCAGTCTTGTGTTCCAAGGAAGCAGGTGAGTCCTTTTGTACATATAGCTCTTTTATATAATGATTTGACTTAGTGAGGGACAAGTTTAGTTTTTGGGTGAAAGAGTGAAAGTTTGTTGTATCATACAATGAAAAAGCCTCAAAACTGTTGTTAAATAAATCTTGCAGCAAAAATAACTTTTGGACTTGAAAGATTTGCCATTTTCCATTTAAACTGAGATTTGTTTAGTGAGGTTAAATCTAAACTTATGCTGATCATGAGTTTGTATAAATTTCTCATAATCGTACTTTCTAGATAGTTTGCACGTATGAATATAGAAAATTAGAAACTACAGTATTGATGCGATAATTTTGATGACTTTGGTCTAGAGGATACAATTTTGAAAAAATTTGATGAATATTGTTTTTCTTGTTTTTTAAAGACAATCATATGTTTAACTTCTTTCTTGGATTACATAAAATACAAAACGACATTTACATTGAAACTGGAAAGAAAAAAAGATTCTCGGATAAACAATCTAATTATTACAGAGAAAAATGATTTGTATAACCTAGCTAGGATTTAAAAATATACTATTTGAAAAAGAACTCCCACTTAACTATAACAGGAATAAAGAATTCTCCTCATTAAATGGATTGACAAAGTCAGCTACGTATCGAAGGTTACTTTAGCTCATATTGACCAAAACAACCAATGAATGAACATTTTGATTTGATAAAATAACAAATTATGTTGAAAATGCTAGTAAAAGTTAAAGAAATCCACCCACAATCTTGGTTCACTTCCAGTTTCCAGGAAATTACTAAGGAACTTAGTCGCAATTGTGACATTAATTCGTGTTTGTCTTTTTTCAAGTCTCCAATAAGTAAGAGCATGAATTAAGTCATCCTTAATAACTTTGGTCAAACAAGTCACGGATCATGGTTAGTTTAATTGCTTTATGTTGTTTTTCTTCTTATTTTTAATACATAAATGATGTTTTAATAAGTAATGTTCACTTGATTTGATTTTTTTGATAATAAATGTTAAAATAAATATTATAGAAAACTATTAATTTGTGGTTAATTTTTTTTAAAGATTAAACGGAAACAATATTATTACCAGTTAATTGTGAAAGTTGCATAGTTTGGGAGACTTTCAATTACACTGACTTTCATTTATGTGACTACAATCTGTATATATTTAGATTTTTTTTTTTTTTTTAAAAACAACATATAAAATTTCATTTCAAATACATTAATATAGAAAAAATCAATTTTTCTTATTAGTTTTGAATAACACTAGGAGGAGTATTTAAAATATTAATTGATAATATCATATTTTTTAAAAAAAATAAAACATAATTTATATCAAATTTAAAAGCCAGATTTTAATACATAATTTATAATTAACTAGTAAATAATATAACCTGAAATAGAATACATTTCAAATTTGATCAGTAAAGCTATTCGAAAATTTTAAATTATAACCAAATTTGAAACATTAATAGACTAATATTTTGAATTTAAACAATATTGTATTATAATCATATTATATTAAAAGTAATATTTTATATTTTATATTTTGATTTTTCTATTTTTCCTTTGTTAACGATTTTAATTTTTGATTTTATTTTTTTAATTTAAAAAAAAAACTGTTTCTTAAACTAGAATTTTTATAACTGAACTGAATCACACGGTAGGAACACGATGAAGCCAGACGTGACATCCCTACTAACAATCATAAACATGTTATATATAAATTATAAAACACATCTGTTGCAAAACAAAAAAGAAGTATAAAATACAGTTAAATTAATAAATAAAATATAGTAGACTAATATGACTTATGAGTACAAAACAAAAAAACAACTCCCATGAATGGTTCGGAAGAAATTTCCTCACGACTTAACTTATTCTTTTCTTAGACTTGTATGTAAGTTTCCTCTCTCTCTTTCCTTCCTGCTCTCTTCTTCCAACGGCAACTTCCTCACTTTTGCCTCTCCACCAAAGTTGTGTCCACATTGAACTTATTCATCAAGCATTTATATATAGCCACAAAACAAACTCATATCTCCTCACATCTCTCCTCAAAACATTTATTTCATTCATTCGCTGAGTTTTTAGTTTTTCAAACAAAACATCTAACAACACAAAAATTATGACTGTAAGCCACTTATACAGTCTTATAACCATGGAGAAGAGTTCCTTGTCCGAATGCAAACACTCTTCTTCTTCTTTACCGTTGTTTGGTCTGTTCGATTTCTTCCTCATCAATTTTTTCAGATGGGTTTCTTTCGCTCAGATCTTTTTTTCCAGATTTTGGCCTCTTCTTCAGCACCAGCCCCAATGTGTTTCCGAGAAGAAGAGCAAAGATCTCGAGGTCCAGAGTTCGATCAAACACGATGATGATGATGTTGAGCTCTGTAGTGATGATGCAGAGATGGTGATGAAAAGTTTAGGACTTTTAACCGACCCAGAATTAGAAAGCGAGGGACTTAAAAAAAGGTACAGTTCCGAGGAGCTTTCGAATCTGTTCGAAGAGAAAGAGCCAAGCTTGGAGGAAGTGAAGCAAGCGTTCGATGTCTTTGATGAAAACAGAGATGGGTTTATCGATCCAATAGATTTGCAGAGAGTTTTGACAATCCTTGGCTTAAAGCAAGGATCTAACCTTGAGAATTGCAGGAGAATGATCAGATCATTCGACGGAAATAAAGACGGAAGAATCGATTTCCATGGATTTGTGAAGTTCATGGAGAACAACTTCTGCTGAAATTGTGTCTGTCAACTTCCTTTTCTTCTTGCTTTGAGACTGTGTCTGTGTCTGTTAATATTGTTGTCTCATCACCTTCTTGTATAAAAATTATCGAACTTTAATATCAAAAGCTCCTATAGAGAAAAATTTGAACTGTTATACACTATTTACACCTAAAAAAATGATGATCATCTTGCTTCCGGTTTAAATCTTCACCAGTAATCACAACAAGAACACTGACCATCTTTGAAATGATGGAACCGATTCGAATCTCTGACAACTATCAATCGGTTTGAGAGCCTCGAGATAAGCTTGATAGCAGAGTGACAATCATCACATATCCTCACGTTCTTCGTCACGTACAACGGCGAGTTCTCGGGAGTTTTCATCAGACCATACGCCACAGCTAGCTTTTCGCTGTGATAAGCGAGGCTGTTCTCTCTCTGTTCTTCATCTACATCATGGAAAACTCCACCAACATCAGCTAAATAACCCAAAGGCTTGATCTTTCCCAAAACTTCCTTCACCTTTGCATAAATCAGCTCAATCTCTGCGTGTTGATTGTCCTCTGAAAGAAACACATGTGTTTGATTCCGTATACCTATCCAGCTTATCCCAGGCTCCTTCTTAACTCGCCTTTCCTTCATCAAAGAACGCACTTTCGCAACTCCATCCCACTCCTTTGACTTGGCGTGGATATTGGATAACAAAACGTAGATTCCCGAGTCGTTTGGATGCATCTCAATGGCGAATTTAGCCACCCGCTTCCCTAAACCGTAGTTCCGGCGAACATAACAAGCGTTTAGCAAAGATCTCCACGCAACAACGTCCCATTCAACAGGAGCTTCTCTCATGAAACTCTCAACCTCATTGAACAAACCAGCCTTGCTCAAAAGTCCAACAATGCAAGTGTAATGCCTCAGATCAGGCTCAACATTGTATTGCTTCATTAGCTTGGTGAAGTAATAATGCCCTTGCTCCACAAAACCCATATGACTACAAGCGTGCAAAACGCCGATGAAAGTTACCCGGTTAGGGCAAGCTCCTGCGATCATCATCTTGTCAAATGCTTCAAGCGCTTCCTTTCCCAATCCATGATGTGAGAATCCACATATCATTGTGTTCCAAGTAACTATATCCCTAAAAGCCATCCCTGAGAATGCTTTCCTCGCATCCTCGATGCTTCCGCTCTTGGCGTACATGTTAACCAATGCATTACCAACCATTACATGGTTCCTAAAACCGGATTTCACAACAAGACCGTGTAGAAGATCTCCGTGTTTTAAAAGGGACAGCTCTGCGATTGAGTTTAACAGAACCGCAAACGTGAACTCATTAGGGGGAATCACTTTACTTCCCCTCTTCGCAAACAGATTCAGAGCCTCCTCGAAAGACTTTTCCTGGAAGTAAGCATCCATGATCGACGTGTTTAAGACAATGTTCTGAGTCTGTGTGTTGTCGTAAACTCTCTGAGCATATAGGACTTTACCACATTTGCCATACATATTGATGAGTGCGCCATGTACATCAACGTTACAGCCGAAACCATGCTTTACCACTCGGCTATGAACCTGCCGAGCCAATTCCAAATCTCTGAGGTTAGAGCAAAGCTTCAAAGTAGACATATACGTGAACTCGTCCCACGCCAAATCTTCGTTAGCCATCCGTCTCAAAACATCAAGCCCTTCTTTTAAAGCACCATGCTCTAGATATCCACTAAGAGCCGAGTTAAAAGCAAGAAGATCATAACAAGGAAGACAATCCAGAATCCGGATGGCTTCTCCTGTTCCCGAACATGATGAATACATGTAGAGAAGAGTGTTCCTTACAAACTCATGGGACATCAAACCATGTTTGAGGAAACATCCATGGCACTGCTTACCTTCTTCGATTCTCCCAGAGCTCGAGCAAGATTTCAAAACCAAAGTGGCTACATACTCGTTCGGTTGCGATTCGCCGGAAAAACCCATACTTTTGAATAGTCTCAGAACTTCCAAATAAAACCCAGAATCTTGATAACCCTTCATCAACGCAGTCCAAGAAACAACATTCCTCTTAGGCATTTCGTCGAACATCTTGCGTGCGCGAACAGTTTTCCCGCATTTCACGTAGAAATTGATCAGAGAATTGATATGCCATAAGTCCTCAGCTCGAGATGATTGGTTCCTAGCTATCAGATGAGCGTGAATCGATTCGCCAATCCTCAGATAACTTGATTTAGCACACTCTTTCAAGGCGTGATCAATCCATGGAAGAGCTTCGATTGGTTTGGGTAATGAAGACGCAAGCGTTTTCCACTTTACTACTCGTCGGTCGATCACAGACAAGGCGGACATGGCGCCAAAACTTCTCCTTCTCTCAGAGAGCAACAAGCGCGGCTTAAGTTTAAACGGAGAAGAAGAAGCTCTGTATCCGCTGCACTCGAGTGTTTTCTACTAGACTTGTCTATTTTGAAATTAAATCTCATTTGGTTAGACCGGAAAGTAGATTTCCGGTTTGGTTTCGGTTTAACTTGGATTGATCATCAGAGAGAGATTTTGTTGCCTTTTTCGATCTTCCATGAGATTCAATATCATTTATTTGAAACCCATTGATCTTTAAAATTTCTGGGTAACTTCTCTATAATCCTCGAAACGAGTTAGTGAGCAAAATTGGAACTTTTGACTCCATCTTTTGGTGGAAAGGCCGATAAAACTTGGGTTTTTTTCTGAGAAAAATTGGAACTTTTAAGTTTCATTTGGTGGATCCAAAGGGTAACGGATGAGTGTGAATAGAAGAATCAAGGATTTAGGGCTTCCATTAATGAATCTCGTTAAGCTTAGAGGAACACCGATTCTGCACATTCTAAATAAATACACCAAAATTTTAGTAGATTTTCAAGCTGTATCAACTCTGTTAAGACAAATAGACCAAGTATTTCTTTTTAAAACCCCCCAAAAATAGACCAAGTAATGATAATACCATAAGTCAACAACAGAGATATTTTTAATAATTTGTTGTAAATTACTCAATCAACGAATACAGTTTATAAAACCAAAGACCATAAAAACATCAAAACGAAAACATTCAAGATTCAAAGAATTTTTTTTTTTTATCATGATCTGCATGCAAGAGACTCCAAGATACAAACACCAAAGCAGATATGATAAGTATTTTCTAGTAAAAAAAAGATAAATCTATATTATAAAAAGAGGATCATTTTTTAAAACTAACATTTGTCTACTGTGCTATTTATAGCAATTGCCATTAATGAATTAATATAAACATTATATATAAATTATATAAATGATACTAAATGTTAATGTCTTAATAAATGTTCAAAAGCTATCATGATGTTCACAATATATGCCATTGTATTTACTAGATAATTTTATTAATTTATTAAAAGTAATTTAGTCATATCATTAAACTACTAAAAATGTATTAAATTAAATTAAATTAAATTATATTAGTTTGTTAACATGGTAATACCAATAAATTATATCTGATATTAAAAAAATTCAAACTAATTTAATTTTGAAATTATTTCAAAATTTTTCATATTATTTTAATATAATTACCACATATATATGACATGAATAACTAATATAATTATATATATTATATTATAATTAATTTATTCTCTATTCAATTAAAAAAAGCATTACTTTAAAATATTTAAAAGCTAATATGGTATTTACTAAATGTGACAATTTATAGTCAATAATAAATATGTAATCATTATTTTTGGTTATATATATACATACTATGAAAAAAATATTATGTAAATAATTTTTTTTTTCTAGTTTGTGAATGATTTTTTGCGGAAAATCATGGGTTTGCGGATTTGACAAACACAAATTGGTAGATTTTACAGGTTTTACAAGTTTTAGCAGATTTTATAAGTTTTAGCAGAAAATATACTTTTACGAAAAAATGCCAGTTTGACAAGAAATGTGCTTTTGTAGATTTAGCAGAAACACATGATTTTAGAGATGTGGTCGTAAATCATAATTTGCAGATTTTATGGGTATACGGAACAACATGGGTTTGCGGAATGCAAATAACACAATTTTGTGGATTTTTTAAGCTTTACAGGTTTTAGCGGGAAAATGTAGTCATACGAGAACATGTAGGTTTGTGGGTTTGGAAACTCGATTTTGCAGGTTTGGCAGAAACACATGAATTTAGAAATTTGGTCGTAAAACACGATTTGTGGATTTTACAATTTTATAGAAAAATATGGGTTTGTGGATTTGGTCGGAAACATGATTTTGCGGATTTTACGAGGTTTACATGTTTTGGTGGATTTTATAGATTTTGATGGAAAAATATGGTTTTATGGATTTTATTGAAAATGTAGATTTGCAGGTTTGATGAGAAACGCAATTTTACGGGTTTGACAAAAACAAGTAATTTTTTAGAAATTTGGCCATATAATACGGTTTTATGGTGTTGAGAAAAACATAATTTGTGGTTTTGTTAAAAAATGTGGGTTTACAGTTTGGAAGAAAAATACGGTTTGATGAAAAATGCTATTTTTTTATATTTTTTACGGGAATTCCCAATTTTAGTACAACAACATGATTTTAGTAATTATTGGTTTTGTTAAAAAATGTGGGTTTAAAGTTTTGGCAGGAAAATGCTGTTTGATGGAAAATGCTATTTTTACAATTTCTACGGGAATTCCTGATTTTGTTACAACAACGTGATTTTAGTATTTTGCGAGAAAATGCGATACTCTGATTTTATGGTTTTGACAAAGAAAAAACTTAATTTGTGGTTTAAATTAAAAGGAGTTTTAGTTTTTTAGTTTTTGAGATTCAAATGCTGCATCTAAACTCTATTTTTTAGCATTTTAAATATTCAAATTTTGAGATATTATAGATTTTGTATCCAGATATTTAAAATTATAATATTTGAGCATTAACATCCAAATAAGTATCTAGATGCAAAAACAAACAAAGCCTAAGTAAATATTAAAATCTTAATTACAAACAAATAAATCTTTCTTGTATTATAAAACATAAAATTTTGAA